CCCTGTCACAACTTCTCACTTGTTTACATTCCAATCGTCAGAATGTGTGCCCTTTGTGGCAAACCGAGTATGGCCTCATCACAATTGCGATTTACCCCGACCCCCCCCTTTCGATGGGCCTCCAATCCGGATCCTTTCATTGTCTGGTAGATCCGTTCCTTATCCTTCTGCTTGACCGATTTTACTCGGTTTCATTTTCTGTGTACATTTCACTCCAGGCGCTATTTCTCAAGGCCCTAGAAGCACATACACTGCCATTTCACTGAGCGGAGCGCTTAAGCTCTGATTCCTATGCATGCAGATATCAGGCCTTCCCTGCGCTGGTCGACTCCTTGATTAAACTCATGTTATCTGAGCAAAATGTGGACGCCTATTTCTGGTCACATGCGGCATCTCAAGTGGATTTCTAGTGCATTTTGGCCAGAACCCCTATTATCTATGACGGTGTGCTTATCCGTCTTCCAAGCCTCCTAACTGCCAGGCTCCCAAAGTTTTACTGATTTAGTCAAATGGCGATCACTCACTGACAACGTCTTCGCTTAATTTCCGAATACCTCTGCCCCCTACTTTCATCATCGCAATCCCTTTTCCTCCGGTTAGAGGCAGATCCTTGCTCCAGGCGTCTCCTTTTTGCTGGTCTTGCTCTATTGTTTTACCCGATTTTGCTTAGGCAGTAAGCAAAGTTATTGCTAATTATATCTTTCTCCAACCTCCTGTTCATCAGATTTGTATCCCCAAGGATGTCAATGGCCTCCCTAATCTTCCACTTCCTTATCTTGTCACCGTATGGAGCTTTCTTTTCTGTTGCTTTTCAATTGATCTCCTGTCCACTACGTGCGATGTGTTCCGCTAGTTCTGATCTTTTAGTATCCATTTTCCTGTAGAGCCTCTGATGTTCATCGATTCGTGTGCTAATTTTTTCCCTGTTTCACCAATATATTTCTGTACGTAGCCACCGCATGATATATAGTAAACTCCTGAACAGTCAAATTTGTCTACCCTTTCATGTTGCGTTGGTAGACTTGTGAAAAGTGATGATTTTTCCCTAGTGACCACCTGAATATTCTATTTACTAAACATTGGCCCTAGTTTTTCAGTTAGTTTACAGGAAGACAGGCATATCCACTTCTGTGAATCTTTAATCGTCCTTACTGTCCTTTCATATTCCCCGTTCTTCCATCGGCTTTTGACGGCCAGTATGTTTCTTTGTATCACTTCGCTTGGGTAGCAATTGCTGAGGAAGATCCTAGTCAGCTCCTCGTCCCAGGAATCTGCATCCGTCAGGCGTAGGCTTCTGATGATCATGCTCCTCATTATTCCAATCTTTAGCATGTAATTCTAATGGGACCGTAAATTGAGTACTATCCCAGCATAGGACTTCTTTCTGAACAATTTATTTTTCAGCGTTCCATTAGGACGAATCACTTCAACGTCCAGGAACGGTAACCGCTAACCCTTCTCTACTTCCATTGTGAATTGAATTTTTGCATCAATTTGGTTTACAAATTGCACAAACTCATCTAGTTTTTTATTCCATATGACCAAAGTGGGAAGTAATCCAGGTACCGCATGAGAACTGTAGGTTGTAGCGGTGCCGTCTTGAAGCTCTCTTCTATTTTGTTCATGTATACGCTTGCCAAGAGTAGTGAGCGGTGATCTCATGGGAAGTCCAAATATTTGTTCATAGATGTTCCGTTGAATGTAAAATAAGTTGTCCTTATTGTCAAGTTGATTAGTCTTGTTAAGGACTCCCTCGTGATCTGTTGTAATTCCAGGATATCCTCCTCTGTCCAGGATTTTCAGTAGGGCCGTTAGGGCATTCTCTCCAGAGATATTTGTATCCATGGATTCCACATAGAAAATTACCAATAAGTCCGTTTCCTCGAGTGCCATATGTTTGATTTTTTGTGAAAACTCATATGAATGTTTGACCGTGTTTGATAGCCTCTCAATTAATTTCTTGAGTTTCAAACATAAAATTTGTCAATTTGTGTTGCTCCATACTTGTTGTTGACTATTAGCCTTAGTGGCGCGCCTCCCTTGTGTATCTTCGGTAATCCGTATGCTGTTGGTGGTCGTGTATCCTTTGTTATGATTGAATTTATTGTCCATGCGTGAATCTCCCCATTCATATGCATATCTTTCAGCATGTCACTTAAGATTCCATTGAGTTCGTAGCTTGGTGCAGAGAATGTCAAGACTCACTGATGATGCCGACTACGATGTTGGCGAAACGTTTGAGAATGTATCAAGTCCACTGTCAGATGCTGGTAATCATGAAAACTGCTATGGCAAACGACTTCCCACTAGGTGCGTTCTACATAGTCGCTCTGACAACAAGACCAAGTTGCGACAAAGAGGTCAACCCACTTCAATTATTCGTCAGTTTTTTGTTAGCATATAATTAATAACCTTACTTTTTACTTCCAGATTTTATGTAAGCATGAATTATTGATCTTAAGGGAAATGGCTTTTTAGTGCAAGTCAACTTCCATCGACCAAATACTGACCTCTGGAAGTCAGTTACAAACTCTTATATTGCTCTTAGCATTAATACTCTGATATAATGTCGAATTATACTGCTAGCATCTACTTGACAGTTAAGCTAACTCATTTTAATGTAAACATAAACCAAACTTAGCTAATCTCTTTGTTTCATGCATTTTTCTTATTCGTTTTATGTAGAATGAGGCCAGGAAGGCGAATCATGCTGAATTAGTTGAGGAGGATAGAAGGTCGAAGCTTCCTGCTAATTGGGAAGCCCGTCAGAGGCGCTTGAAATGGGAAGAAGAAGAGGAGGCATTCAGAGAAGAGTGTGCCGCTAAAGGAATCGAAACGGAAAGAGCCCGGGCTTTGAATATAAGGTACTTAATTATTGTGAAGAACAGTATATAATAGACAGTTGCCTAGCCATTATACTTATACTTCTGGTTCCTAAATTAAATTATTTTGCTGTATATATAGACAGGAAATTTCTTATCGAAACAATTTGTCTAAATCTGATTCAGAAAATATGGCTGTCTAAATTTTGGATTGAAAATGATTTATTTCTTTTACTCTATTTCATTTTTATTTATATTTTATCTTTCTCAGTGCCGATGTTGCGGATAGACTTGATCTAAAAAGATCAAAACGACAGGCCAATCAAGATCAGGGTTTTTCCTCCTATTCCGATGCGTCTCATCGGAAATATTTGAAACAGATCCGACAACTTAATATTGATAGGGTGGCATATCAGAAGCAGAAAGAACGTCTGTAAGTTGTTCTTAAGATAACTGCCTTGAAAAAATTTCTTCCAAAATATTTATTTTTATTTACAGAAATTGTTGAGCCTATATTAGATCATTGAGTATTTTTATGCAAATGTAATTTGTGCAATTAATTATTGTATCAGGCGGAATTCAAGAGAATGTACTTTCTAATAATATTTTTCAGCATTGTAATGCTCTAGTATTCGTATCGCGCCAGGCTCATCGTATACATATGACCTGTGAGATGTAACCGACAAAAGATGAGAGGGACAAAAAGAGCTGGGCTTGTAGGATAATTTAAAGAAATGCACTAACAATAAATTAGAATTTTTTATGCAGGTTTTAAGTGTACTTCGATTTTTATGATCCCTTATATAGCTTCATTGT